ACAGAGTAGAACTGCCTATAAGCAACCGTGTAAGAGTAGGATTTCCAAGGTTTGTGGGTTAATGTGCTGGACTGCAAAGTCAGTTTGAACTGCAAGGTCAGCAATTGAAGCTCACCAGCTGTTCCTTGGAAACCGTATACAGGGTTGCTATGGGTCAGAACCAACTCTATAGCACACTAATACAACAATAATCATTACAGAAGAGTCCCAGTGTGATGCTGTAGGATAATGCACTGGACCGCAAGTTCAGTTTGAAGCATAAGGTCAGCAATTCAAACTCAGCAGCTGCTTCTCAGAAACCCTATGTAGGATCACTGTGAGTTGGAACTGACTCGATGACACTTAACAACAGCAGTCATTACAGACTGTCACATCTTTCTACTGCTGAGGGGCTAATGGTTTCTGTTAGCAACTGAACACTTTCACCTCTGCACCCCCGAGCTCCTTTGGTTAAACACGCACAGATAGAAACCTAAGGAGCTTGTTATGAGGATAGAGCTCTCACATGCAGCATTGTTACATAGGCAACTTGTCAACCTTCTCAAATAGCTGAGATTGCCAGATAAATGACCGCCAGGTAAGTTTAGCATTATTGCATTTTAAAAATTCTAACAATCCAGTGCTAATCAAACATAGCAGAGCCTGTGAGTATGGAGCAGGAAGGACTGGGCAGTATCTGTTTTTGTTGTACGTAGAGTCACTGTGAGCCAGAAACAACTCAAAGGCATCTAACAGCAACAACAATGCTAATCATACTCACAAAGCATTTCAAAATTTACAATTTTTTATTCAGCTTATGTAAGGGGCTTCGGATTTTTTAGTTAAAAACAACCAAATATCTACCTTAGAAATAAATCTCAATTAAGCTACTTTCTCTTAGTGTTTAAGTCACTGAAAAAGCTAAGATGGCCTAAAAAATGTTATTGCATCGTGTTTTTGTCTTAACTGTTAACTTATTTAATTCTGCCTTTGTATTTTGTTTTTCCACTGTTAGGTTTTAACTAAAGAATTTTATAGTCTACAAGCCTCTTCTGAAAAACGCATTACTGAGCTTCAAGTACAGAACTCTGACCATCAGGCAAGGCTAGACATTTATGAGAAACTGGAAAAAGAGCTTGATGAGATAATAATGCAAACTGCAGAAAGTAAGTGTCTTATCATGCACACGCGCCATTTTTTCTGGCAACACGAATGTGCTATTATTTCTATAACTGCTTGGTATACTTCATTAAAATATAGTCCTTTTTCAAAGTGATCCATTTTCAAGGAGTATTTTATAAGTTAATCTTAATTCCAGCAATAAGGATAAAAGATGAAAGAGGCAGTTCTGTCTCTGCCACCATTTCTGCTGTCGCCGCCATTTTTCTCGGTAGGATCTCATACTGCATTCATGCTCTTCCTTCTTGATGGTCCTGGAATCCTCAGTTTCTGAAGTGAAAGTTAAATACACATCTTTTACAATTACAGTTGTGACAGTCACATTTATTCCTGCTAACAGTTACTCACAATTGGATCATAATATCCTTTCACCATCATCCTTTTTCACCTTTTACCAGGTCCATCTGAAAACGAGGAAAATTATTTGGTGGGGATTCCGCCTTACTCCCCTCATTCTGAAACTAAAAACACTAATAATGCTTATAAGCCAGCTACTTCATGCCTTTATAACCCTCCTCCCATTTTTTGTATCCAGTGTCTAAATTGCCCACCCCATCTGGTGTGGTGTTGTGGGTTAATGTGCCAGACTGCAAAGCCGTTTGAACTGCAAGGTCGGTGGTTCAAGCTCGCCAACTGCTTCTCAGAAACCCTACACAGGGTCACTAAGGGTTGGAATTGACTCAATGGCACTTCATTACAACAACAAATCAACTCATTGGGAGTCCTGGTGTGGTACTGGACTGCAAAGTTGAGTTGAACTGCAACGTCAGTGGTTCAAGCTCACCAGCCACTCCTCAAACCCTATACATGGTCACTCACTATGGGTCAAAACCGACTCAACAACACTTAACAACTAGAACAATCAACTCAATACACTGAGCAAACAAACTTTTTCCTTGATATGAAGAATCCTTCCATTCCAGTAGAAATTTTGAGCAACTGCATCTATACTCAAAAGTTCAGTTCATAAAATTGTAGCAATTTACACTTGTTCACAGTATCAAGCATCTTTATTTGCATTTGTTGCGTTCTGGTCAGCTAACTGCAACTTTGGGAGGTCACGTACACTTCCCTGAACTTTAGATCAGCTTGCCGCTATACACTCAACTCTAGCCCTCTGGGGCTAGGTCAGTGCCCATGGGCTCAGGAGTTCACACATCTCCCTAAACTTCAGACCAGCATGCCCTTCCTATTTTCTCTCTCATCTCAGAGTCAACAGATGTCAGTCAATGGAACATGGTCAAACTCAGTCCATATCTTTATTGCTGCATTTCCCCCACTTCCATTCACAAGTGGTCACCAGTGAGCATACTGGATTGCTTGTTTTAGTCTTAGAAGAGGGTTTTTCCTGATGGGATGACTTTTCTTGCCTTGATGCCTAAGCAATCAGCTTGCTTTGATATTCAATCAGCCCAGCATTCCATTTTTTTTTTTTTTTTGTAGGTCTGTCTTTCAATAAGAAACAACTTTTGTTCTTCCATCAGTTTTGGGTTGGTCTACATGTGAAAGACATTTTTCAAAATACTTAAATAAGTGTATCAACATACCACTTTCGAAGCTAGGAAGAGAAAGATGGTCAGAACACTTACATTTTGCATGAAAGAGTACAATGTTAATACTAAATAGATTGAAAAACTAAAAATGTACAAGGAGACTTCAAAATGTTCATAAAAAAATTCTGTTATCTTTCTATACCATTTTTCCAAGATATTTTTTGAAGCCTCCTCATAAATGATAATACCTAGAGCATCAGCTAAGGAGTTCTATGCATTGGACGCTAACCAATAGGTCAGCAGTTCAAATCTGCCATCCACTCCACAGGAGAAAGATGAGAGTTTCTGCTTCTGTAAAGTTTTACAGCCTCAGAAATCCTATACAGGGTCGCTGTGAGTTGAAACCAACTCTACAGCATACAGCCAGCCGCAGCATCAGTTAAAAACATAAAGTAGATTTTTGTAGCTAAAAGTCAATAGATGAATTAGTATATTTAAAAAAACTATTTGCAAATAATTTCAAATGACTCAAAAGCCAGGAAATATGGAACAAAAGGAAGCACAAGGTTAGGAAATGTTTCTAACTGAAAGAAATGAAAATGCAATTTACTATACAATAAGGAATAGAGCAACACAACAAGGCAAGTGGCAAAGGATATCATTGGGAGGTACACAAGAGTAAAAACCAAAAAAGGTATATGCTATTAGAAACATATCCTGCAGGGTTAGTAACAACAAACATGTAAGAGTAAACACATAGGTAGACATGCCAATTGAATAGATGTGGGAAGGCAAGTAAGTACATCCATGAGTTTATGTAGGTTTGGCAGGAGATATTTCTGCATATGTATTTGTGTGTGCTGTAAACATAACCAATGATATTTTAGCACATACAGGAGGGAAAATTCAGAAAACTGCTTAGCTAAAACTCCTTTTAAGAGAGTGACTTACTGGACTTGGGAACTTAGAACCAAAGTCCTGGGGACAACTATATCAATTGGCATAGCATAGTTCACAAAGACTATGTTTCACATCTTACTTTGGTTGATAGTAACTGGGATCTTAAAAGCTTGTAAGTAGCTATCTAATATGCAATTATTGGTCTCTCCTTTCTAGAGCATAGAACAGTAACAAAAATCAAACAGTCAAGGACTAATGGAGCAGGTGAGCCACAGCCTCCCCTATCTGGAGAATAGAACTAGATGGTGCCTGGTTACCATTACCTGACACTCTGGTTGGTATCACAATGTGAACTTCTGGATAGAGAAGGAGAATAAAAAGTAGAACAAAATTCAAAAACATAAAAAAGACTAGACTTACTGGTCCTAGAGAAACTAATGGCCCCGAGACTATGGCCCTGAGGTTCGCTTCCAATCTGAAATTGAATCCACACCCAAGGATCAACTTTCAACCAACAGAAGACAGGCCTATAAAGTTCATGACAATACCAGAGAGGAATGAAAGTAAATGGGTAACATTTGCCCAAAGTAAAGCTTCCAAAACACTGGAAGAGTCAGAAAAGAAGGAAGAATGAAAGCATGGAACCCAGGAGTAATGGAGAAGAGTGCTCCTACATTGAGGGATTGCAGCCAATGTCATGAAACAAAATGTCTGTAATTGTTGAATGGAAAACTAATTATTCTGTAAATGTTCACCGAAACTACAGTTAAAAAAAGGAATTCAGCACATTAAAATTTGTTATATACAGCTAAACCAGTGCTTGGAAGGAAATGTATAACTACACACTTGTCTTAGAAAAGAAAAAGGTTGTAAAAATGAGTGATACAATGTTCCGCCTAAGATGTTATAACAAGAAGAACAAGCTAAAGTCAAAGTCAAAAAAAAAAAAAAAGACATAATAAATATAAGAACAGAAATCAGTGAAGTAGAAAACTGACAAAATACCAGAGAAAGTTAGCAGTACCAAAAGTTAGTTGTATGAGAAGATAAAAGAGTAAGCTGAGCCGTTTCCAGTTGCTGTGGCACTAGGAACTGAAGCAGTGAGATCTCTTGCAACATGCGCTCTGAGGCAGTGTGGAGGTCCTACATGGAAACCAGTGTAGTAAGCATTGGAGATTTTTGAAAACAGTGCAGCTGCGGAGCAGCTTCAAGCACAGATGTGTCTTGGTTGCCATCAGGCTTAAGTCCATCACCTACCCCAAGTTCTCTGTGTGTGTTCATGAGGACCACAGCACTGTGGCTATCCCTCACATGGAAATCAAAGCACTGAAGAATAAGGAATTGATCCAGAAGCCAGCCAAGAAGTATGATGCCTTTTTGTTTTCTGGAGATCCTGATTCAACAGATCACACATATGCTGGTGCTGGGCCTGAATAATGCTGGAAAATTCTCTTCCTTGATTACCCACAATGAGAATATAGTGGACAGAGTAGACAAGGTGAAGTCCACCATCAAGTTCCAGGTGAAAAGCGACTGTGTCTGGCAGTGGCAGATAAACACTGTCAACTCATTTACAACATCCACTTGACTGTCAGCTTCCTAATTTCACCACAAAAGAAGAATTGACAGAAGGTGTTTTGTCTACCCAGAGGACCATGGGCAAATCCCAGATCAATAAGCTGTATTGTTACTTTCAAAAAAAAATTAATAAACTAGACAAAAAGAATACAAGTTGCCAGTATCAGAAATGAATAAAGGTTTTTCAGTAAACATGCTATAGACATGCAAGAGGATATTAGAGGAATATTAGGAAAAAAAACTTAAAGCCAATGAATTTAGAAACTTAAATAAATTGGAGAAGATATGTTACCAAAATTGATTCAAGATAAAAGAGAAAATCTAAATAACTGCATATTTACAAAAATTGAATTCAATATTAAAAATCTTCTCACAAAGAAACCCTAGGCCTAGGTAGTTTTAAGGACAATTTCATCAATAAAGAAGAAAATAACACCATTCTTACACCTTCTCTAAAACAGCCTCAGGGAATCACTCCCCTCCTTCTCTGATGAGGCAAACATTACCTTGATACCAAACCTGACAAACACTTTAAGCAGGGTAATAATAAAAAGGAACTTTCCCAATCTGACAAAAGACAACCATTGCCCACAACAATCCTATAGGACAGAGGAGAATTACTCCATAGTATTTCTGAGACTGCTCCTTTCTCCCATAGAGCGGCTGGTGGGTTCAAACCACTGACCTTGTGTTTAGCAGGCTATTACTGCAGCATTAGTGCTTCTTTGATGAACGATATCTGCAAAAAACCCTCAGCTGATATTATGCGTAATGGTGAAATATTAAATGTTTTCCCCTTCCAAGTACAGCAAAGGTAAGTCTTCTATTGTAACCACTAGCCACTTGTTTTTAATGTTTAGGAGTCCTGGTGGTATTTAAGCATTGTCTGCTAACCAGAAAGTCAGTGGCTTGAGCCTACCAGCAACTTGGTAGAAGAAAGTCAGGCCCAGTCAGCTTCCATGAAGATTTACAGCCTCGGAGACTTTATGGAACAGTTCCGCTCTGTCAGACAGGGT